AAAAAAAAAAAAAAAACAGTTTAAAAACCTAAAAATGATTCTTAAAGAGTATAGAAGCCCATGGGGAAAAATAGAAATGCTAACAAGGGAGAAAAAAATGAACAGAATTGCTAAAAATGTAATTGGTAAGTAAAGCATTCACCTAGCAAACATGAGTGCCTGGTAGGACAAAGGGGTCATACCATTTTCATTTTCTTGGGTAAGAATGTTAAACACATAGATGTCTTTTCTTCCCAGTTAATCAACACATTTAAAGCAACCTCCATAGCCAGGCATGATGGCACATGCCTGCAAACTCAACTCTGGAAACCTAAGACAAGAGGATCCCAAGTTCGAGGCAAGCTTGGGTAATTTAACAACTTAGTGAAAGCCTGTCTCAAAATAAAAAAGGCTGTGCCTCAATGCAAAGGTCTTAGATTGAATCCCTAGTTTAAAAAAAATAAAAATAGCTTTAAAAAATGGCCAGGATGACTGGGCATGATGGCACACACCTGTAATCCCAACACTTGAGAGGCTGAGGCAGGATCACTGCAATTCAAGGCCGGCACACACTACAAAGAGAGTTCAAGGCCAGCCTGAATGGCAGAGTGAGGCCCTGTCTCAAAAAATAAAAAAAATAAATAAAAATGGTCAGGATAATGCTGAAAAAGAAAAGAAACAAATGGAAAATCCTACTTAATAGTTTAACATAGCATAATGTTACAGAAATTACAGGCCAGGGAGATGACTCAGAATAAACGCTTGCCTGGCAAGTGTAAGGGCCTGCGTTCAATCCCTGATTCTGGCAACAAAAAAAAAAAAAAAAAGAAAAGAAAAGAAAGAAATTACAGTAGGACTGACAAATAAATCATTAAAAGAGAAAACAGTTAAAAAATAAACCCAAATAAATATAGGAGGTTAGTATGTGGTAAAGGCAACACGAACTGCTCAACAAAATAATGTTGAATTAATTAGCCATATGGAAAAGAAATTATGTTGGCTCTTGTACCAATTACTCAACATCTTGGTCTGTCACAGCTTCCCATTCCACAGGGTTGCACAGGCAACCAAGCAGTACACACAGTGTGCAGCAAGTGCCTGGAAAACACCTGTTCTTAGGAGTCTCCATCTGTTTCTGTTGTTGTTACTGGTGTGTGTGTGCACGCACACACGCGCGTGGGGCTGGGGGGGGCGGTGTTCTAGAGACTGAACCCAGGGCCTTAGCGTATACAAGGCAAGACCTCTACCACTAAGCTGTAACTGCATTTCTTAGACCAAAATAAACACATTCAAAAATGAGACAGTAAGCCAAGCATAGTGCCACATGCCTGTAATCCTAGACAATGCTCAAGAGGCTGAGGCAAGAGGACTGCTGCAGTTCAAGGCCAGCATAGACTACACATAAAGCTCCTATCTCCAGAGAGAGGGAGAGAAGAGAGAGGAAAGAGGGGAGAGGAGAGAGAGGAGAGGAGAGAGAGGAGAGAGGAGAGGGGGGAAGACGGAGGGAGAAGGGAGAGAGGGAAAGGGAGAGAGGGGATTGGGGAGAAAAAGAATGAGAATAAATGTCCTTGGGGCCGGGGAGATAGCTCAGTAGAATAAGCGCTTGTGTGACAATCACAAGGTCCTGAGTTCAATCCCTGGTACAGCAAAAAAAAAAAAAGAATA